TTTTGTAGTATTTCAAATGAATGTACCCACTGTTGTCTTCTAATCGGATTAAAATCTGGCCGAATTTTGGCCGATATTGAAAAAAAGTTTGGCCGAATTTGGCCGTGAGAGGGCGTGTGTTTGGCCGTGAAGCCTGTCGACTATCTGGCAACCCTGTGGTAGACCATCATGCTTGGAGGTGTGGAGTTTCCGTAGTTCAAACTTTACTTTGCTGATGACAAGAGAGTGATCTGTGTCACAGTCTGCACTGTGGTAGGTACGAGTATGGAGAACGCTTGGTAGATCACGTCTTCTGGTGATAATAAGGTCAAGTTGGTGCCAATGACCAGACCTCAGATGACGCCAAGAAACCTTGTGTCGGTGTTTTCCTTGAAAATAGGTGTTTGTGATGCATAGCTCTCTTTGTGCACAAAGTTCAAGTAAACGTGGCCCATTTTCATTTATCCTGCCCACACCATGGTAACCAAGGCACATTGGCCATGAAACTCTGTCTGATCCGACACGTGCATTTAAGTCGCCAACAATAAAGAGCTTCTCTCCGTGTGGTACTCGTGCCAAAATCTCATTTAGACAGTCATAGAAAGTATCTTTATCTTGCTCATTTGCATACAGAGTTGGTGCATAAACATTAATAATGTTGACAAATCCTCCTTTTGATGATAGACGTAGTGAGATAATGCGTTCAGAGGTTACTACTGGCGATTCAATCTTCTGTATTAGTCTGTTGCTTACTGCAAAGCCTACACCATATTCACGGCGATCTTCAGAACTCTTGCCGTGCCAGTAGAATGTATAATTTACTTCACGTATTGAACCTGTGCCTGCTAGTCTTGTTTCCTGTAGTGCAGCAATATCAATATGACGTTTATCTAACTCACGGTCAATTAGTGCTGAATTACGTATGTTTTCTGTCATCAGTATATGTTCATTCATGCCAGGACACATGGTTCTGACATTCCAGCTGCCAAGCTGGAAAATTTCGCATTTCTGTTTCTTCTTGCTGGGTGTCATTTTACCGTCCGCTTTTCGAGATTAATCTATCCTCATTCACCCGCAGAGGCAGGCAGACGTTGGCGGGTCAGTACCTTACTGGCTGGGGGCTGCCCAGCTTAGGCGGGCGGATACTGACCAATAGGATGCGATGATCCTTCCCACCGTCGACTTATAACCCGTAAACTGCTATACCCCGTGTTGGCTCCCTTACTAGTGATAGTAAGGATGAAGTGTCCTCTCCATGATGATTGATGATTTGATGATTTGCTACAATAGCCTGGGCAGTGATATGGGGACCTAGTCTTGCCCGGCATCTTGGTCCCCCTCTCGACCTCGCTGGCTTTGTCTAGAGGAAAAGCGATGCTTCTACGTCTAGAGTCAGTTTGGTTGCAGGAGTTGCCAGAGGGTGCATCCAGCACCAACCGCCTAACGGGGCTCCACTCCGGTTTTTCTGTTAGGGTGTACTCCCTTAGCCTTGGTCTTTCCTGAGCCTGATCCACAAGGCAGTGGGTGCTATTTAATCCATAGCTGGAGCTTTGTTGATGGACGTCAGGGTATATCCACACGCCGATGGACCGTGCACGTCGCATCTCTGGGGGCTAGGCTCCTCCGAGATCCCTTGTGGTTCGGCCTGAGGTCTCAAGATACCCAGTGAACCGTGTGTTGCCACAAGGAGGCACCACAAGACATCTTATTTAATGGTAAAAAGTCTGTGTGCATGTGCTTTTGTCCACATGTAAGAAAGTTGAGCGGTGACCCTGTCACTACTGTAGGTGGGGAACAGTTGGAGTATGCTACTTCATTTCTCTACCTTGGTCATGTACTTTCTAGTGATGCAACTGATGATGCTGATATAGCTCGGCAATATAGGTCACTATGTATGCGCGCCAACTCTCTGAAGAGGCGTTTCTATAGGTGTACGGATAGTGTAAAGTGCACGTTTTTTAGAAGTTTTTGTGTGAATTTTTATTGTGTAAATGTATGGTCTGACTATAAGAGTAAGTCGATAAATTCGTTAAGAGTTTGCTATAACAATGCTTTAAGGTTATTGTTTGGTAAGCCCAGGGAAGCAGTGCAAGTGCAATGTTTGTTACGTGCAGCCTGCTTTCATTTTACGAATTTGTAAGAAAATCAGTTTATTCTTTTATGAAAAGGATATATGCTTCTGAAAACAGCCTGGTTAAAGGTGTTGTCAAGTCAGTATTATATTACTCGACTATGTTTTCCAAGTGGAATACACTTTTGTATTGAGCAGGTTTTATAACTGCCTACAGTCTGTAATATTATTTATCTTTTCCATTTTTGTATTTGTTATGGAGGAAATTCCGAAATAAAAGTTGATTGATTGATTCAGATGAAATAATGAAATAGGTACTTGCCAACTGTTTTATGATGATTCTAAAATACTTTCAGTAAGATAGGCCTAATTGAGAAATAATTGGAGGTTCTAAGTTTTTCAGGTCTCCAGTCTTCGTTTTGTAGACACTAATATAGAGTGTCTATACAACGAAGACCCTTGAAAATTTCACAAACAGACGGCAAAAAAATTCGTAATTTTGATTTTGTGACAGCCTGGTGTATAAGAAAAAAAATAGGGATCTTCGTTTTTGGGTCTTCGGTCTTCGTTTTATAGACACTCGCCGATAGGATGAGGATTCTGTTGAAAACCGAGTACATGCGAGCTGGTGTGTTCTGTATCCGACACAGTTTGGCAAGTTCAGGCTGGGTGATCCATACAAGAGGCTGTTACACCAATCCAGGCGTGGGGTAATAAAAGCATGTACCAGTCCGACTGGTGTTCTTCTATCAATGTACTCCTCACTGTACATCATCTGCATAAAGCATGACCCTGAATCTATCATGCGTTTTGATCATATATCTTGTTGAACCTGTCCCTCGCTATGCTCGCTCTCGTCGTCTCCGCTCTGCACATGAAATCACTGCTTACCGTCCAAAAATTCCGAACGAAGACATGACCAACGCACTATTTCCTTCTCTGCCTCTTCCCCGTGTAATGAACTCTCCTCCTTTGTTAAAGTTTCAACTATTCTAGATTCATTTAAAGTTAATTTAAAAACATTTTTATTTAACAAACTCTAAGGGTAAACTGCGCCTTTGATCATTTTAAATTGGCGCATTATAAATGTTTGATTATTATTATTATTAATATTAATGTTATTATTATTATTATTATTATTATTATTATTATTATTATTATTATTATTATTTATTATTATTATTATTATTATTATTATTATTATTATTATTTTCCAGAGGAGTGGTGAATATGACACACAACAGCGGTTCTAAACCCAAGCTTCCTTTGATGAGATGACACACCCTAAATGACAACTGAATATTTACGTTGAGTCAGGTAAAATTTGAACCAGTTATAGGCGCTTCCACTGACCCCCAACTGAAGCTTAAGAAGCCTAAGAAGTTTAAAATGATCGATTGTATCGAATGCTGATGAAAAATCTAGTAAAGCAACGAATCAGAATATAAGATGGTGACCAAAATTGTACCCCCAGAAAGTGAATTTTCCAAGATGGCTGTCAAAGTGGCGCCGAAACCTGAAAAATAGCTATAAATTATGTATTTTTTGTCTCGAAAGATGCCGGTTTTTTTTCAATCCAATGTTTTATGGCTCAGTGTACCAACTGAGACCAACTTAGTCCTAAATCTAATCAAATAGGCCTAATGATAAATTTCGAAAACTGAATACAGGTCTCCCTCAAATTAAAGAACCCTCCAATTAAAGACCATTTTCTGTGGTCCCTTATTGCCTTATTCTTATTATTCTACTAAGAAACCAAAGCTACCAAAGACTATGCAAAACCCGGTCCCAAAAGTGGTCTTTAATTGAAGGAAGGTAGACCAAAATGGCATCCTATGGCCACCGTTAACATTTTGTGTAGGCGTATAAACATAATTCATTAATTATTAGCCCTTGAGGCGATTGCAGTGGCATGTTGTCCGTAGCTTTTGACTGTGCGTTCATTAAAAATATGTTTAAAAATCATTATTTTCGTATTTATTCATTCATACAATCATTCCTTAGTCGACATAAAATGTATAGTCTAATACCTTCCTCATTTCCATGGTATAGAGGACAGCATTAAGGCCTATCTCAGACGAACTACTGCACTCCTATAAAAATAATTTTTCAAGTAGTCTTCCATCCTTAGAAGTTATTATACTCTGATGTCATTATTATGTACGGTAGTAAGAGATATACTGATTGTATTTTAAACCAATTTCAATTTAAATGTCAACCCACATTTTAATATTTGTATCATCAGCAATTCAGCCATTTCCGCTGAATATTGTCTTAATGTGAATAGTTAGTTCTTACGTTCATTTTTTCATTATTATATAAACGCATTTCTGATATCAGACGATATATAAAAAATTTATTATCGTTCTAAAAACATTATAATTAAAAAAAAAACAAACACAAAAACAAAAACAAAAACAAAATAGATTTGAACTCGTCACTGACGACGAGTTAGTTGGGGATCCGCTGCAGATTTTAAAAAGATTTATGAAGTTTGTTAAGTCGTCATTTAGAAAGAAATTTGTCTCATCTATAACATAATCGAAGTTAAAAAGCGATTGATCAAGGATTTTAACAAATGACATAATAGATAAAAATTCAGAGACAAAAACGCACACAAAGATTTGACCATGATGACATCATCATAATACAAAAAAAAAGTCACATTTATGAAAGTTTTGTTAATTCAGATGGCAATGTGATGACGTCACAACGTCCGATTAACCATTATGATGCATAAAATCATATTTACACCTAATGTTCTTTAAGAATAAGTAATAAAAATTGGGGGTCACCTTTCATCCTATAGCTACGGTATAACTGATTGAAAATAGGCATGATTTTGGCCAAATTTCAGTGTTTGTCGACAAAAACGAGTACAAATATTCATAATTTGATGCGCGCGTGAAGCTGTTGGTCCTAATTGACTGAAAAAGAATGGAAATACGTGAATACAGTGTCAGAAACCCAATACTTTAAAAAAAAAAAAAAGTCAGATTTAGAAAGAAAATTGTTTCATCTATAACATAATCGAAGTTAAAAGGCGATCTATCAAGGATAAGTGAGATACGCTCAAATGAGTATTTTAGCAATCACATAATAAATAAAAATTCTTATTTTTTTAATCTATTTCTTATGGTAATATGATGACGTCACAATGTCCGATCAGCCATTATGATCTATAAAATCATATCTACATCTCATGTGCTTTTAGAATATGTAATAAAAATTAGGGGTCACCTTTCATTCTAAGGAGCTATAACTGATTGAAAATATGTAAATTTTCAGTATTATTAGACAAAAACGGGCACAAAGATTTGACCATGATGACATCATCATAATACAAAAAAAAGTCACATTTATGAAAGAACATTGTCGCAGCTATAACATACTCAAAGTTGAGAGACGGTAGATTAAAGATAAGTGAGATGAGCTCAAATGAGTATTCTAACAAATTACGTCATAGATGACAATTCAGTAGTTTTGTTATTTCAGATGGCAATGTGATGACGTCATAGATGACAATTCAGTTTTTTTTATATTTCAGATGGCAATGTGATGACGTAACAATGTCCGATCAGCCATTATGATGCATAAAATCATATTTATAACTAATTTTCTTTAAGAATAACTAATAAAAATTGGGGTTCACCTTTCATCCTAAGGATCTATAACTGATTGAATATAGGCATCATTTTGGCAAATTTTTAGTGTTGGAGTCAGAAAAAAAAAGTCAGATTTAGTGTCAGAAACCCAATACTTAAAAAAGAATAAGTGAGATACGCTCAAATGAGTATTTTAACAATGACATAATGAATAAAAATTCCGATTTTTTTTTTCATCTATTTCTTATGGTAATATGATGACGTCACAATGTCCGATCAGCCATTATGATGCATAAAATCATATTTACACCTAATGTTCTTTAAGAATAAGTAATAAAAATTGGGGGTCACCTTTCATCCTATAGCTACGGTATAACTGATTGAAAATAGGCATGATTTTGGCCAAATTTCAGTGTTTGTCGACAAAAACGAGTACAAATATTCATAATTTGATGCGCGCGTGAAGCTGTTGGTCCTAATTGACTGAAAAAGAATGGAAATACGTGAATACAGTGTCAGAAACCCAATACTTTTTTAAAAAAAGGTCAGATTTAGAAAGAAAATTGTCTCATCTATAACATAATCGAAGTTAAAAGGCGATCTATCAAGGATAAGTGAGATACGCTCAAATGAGTATTTTAGCAATCACATAATAAATAAAAATTCCGATTTTTTTAATCTATTTCTTATGGTAATATGATGACGTCACAATGTCCGATCAGCCATTATGATCTATAAAATAATATCTACATCTCATGTGCTTTTAGAATATGTAATAAAAATTAGGGGTCACCTTTCATTCTAAGGAGCTATAACTGATTGAAAATATGTAAATTTTCAGTATTATTAGACAAAAACGTGCATAAAGATTTGACCATGATGACATCATCATAATACAAAAAAAAGTCACATTTATGAAAGAACATTGTCGCAGCTATAACATACTCAAAGTTGAGAGACGGTAGATTAAAGATAAGTGACATGAGCTCAAATGAGTATTCTAACAAATTACGTCATAGATGACAATTCAGTAGTTTTGTTATTTCAGATGGCAATGTGATGACGTTATAGATGGTCACAATGTCCGATTAACCATTATGATGCATAAAATCATATTTACACCTAATGTTCTTTAAGAATAAGTAATAAAAATTGGGGGTCACCTTTCATCCTATAGCTACTGTATAACTGATTGAAAATAGGCATGATTTTGGCCAAATTTCAGTGTTTGTCGACAAAAACGAGCACAAACATTCATAATTTGATGCGCGCGTGAAGCATTGCTATTGGTCCTAATTGACAGTGTCAGAAACCCAATACTTGTAAAAAAAAACCCGAAATTTACAGCTCCTGGCGCGTACAGAAATGCGCACGCGGTGCAAAAAATTTGAAAAATGTTGAAATGCTTAAAATGGTCTGAAACGTACTCTAATTTAGTCAGAAAGTGATTTTGGGCATTTTAAAATTTTGACGCACGCGTTCGCACGCGTTATGACGCGCAGGCAAAATATTTTGGTACGTGATATTCAACATTGATCTGAAGTTTATGCACACTTAATATGATTTAGAAATGAAAATTGGTGAGGATGATATGATCGATAATATAAAATACGCAAAATTGCGCGTAGATTACGTCACGCGTGACAGAACACATTGAACAGGTCACATTGACTTTTCGATGACAAGCCAAATGTGTGTTGAAACGTGCATGAACATTGCTCACAGCAATTTTGAGATATCGTGCGAACAAGAAATGGGGAGAAAGTGAGAATAAAAAAAAGAAGACGATCCAGTACAATAACAAGAGGTGATCCGCTAGTGTAGCGGATCACCAAAAAACAGTAGTTCGCAAGCACAAACACCATGTTTCATATTGGCAAATTTCATCTTGCGCATTGTTTTTCTTCATGTTTTTTTCAACACTACCCATTATGTGAACCACCGATTTGCTACATAAGATATGTACAATAGTAAGCCACTGAGTTACTTTACTTTACTTTAAGTGAGCTTGTATATGAGTGGCATTGAAAGACAGGCATCGTAGGCTTATTCACCAAGTTCCTCATCATCACCACCACCACCACCCCCACCGCGTACAGTTCTATTTGTATTTCCCTTCATCATATTCTTGAGGTAAGGATTCAAATCCGTAATGCTGGAGGTAACACTCTCACATATGTAAGATAAATCAAGCAACAAAATGTAACCATTACCAAAGTTGCATTCGTCTAATTTACCAACACGCCTGCAAATTCCGCCATGGCCGGTGACATTACCACGAACCATGTCGAAAGCAATCTTTTTTGTCTTACGGAATGTTTGCACTTTTTCATTAGCAACACATGTTTTAAAAACAAATGAAGTCATGTTACGGAACGCAGATAAGTCGTCTTGAAATCTTGGACCATAGTCCTTTATAAGTTTATGTAAACGCCCGAGAAAGTGAGAGTATATTTTCGTGTCTATCCAATTCCACTTTGATATGTTTTTACGAATGTCCACATTTAAAGTCTGTATGTCTGTCTCTTATACACATCTAGATGTGTATAAGAGACAGCTTTATAAGTTTATGTAAACGCCCGAGAAAGTGAGAGTATATTTTCGTGTCTATCCAATTCCACTTTGATATGTTTTTACGAATGTCCACATTTAAAGTAGCCCGCGAACTTCTCACGTTTCGAGGCAAATACAAAATGTCTTTAAATTCCCAACAAAGCTTTTTCTTCAGTAATAACAATGATTCGTCAAAATATTCTGTTATCATTACTAGATCAAGTTCATTATCCAATCGTTTAATCGTATAATCAACAACAAAACTATTAGGACATTTCGCAGGATCCACGCCCAAATCCCAAATCTGATTATTTCGAGAAAATAAGCGCAGAGATCCTTTCAGCTTAGTCCAATATTTAAGTGGATCTTTAAGGAAAACCTGTAATCTCTGTGATTTATTTAATGAACTGTCTCTTATAGCGGCTGCCCCAACATTAAAAAAATCAAAAGCAGATTCGAACTGAGAGACCGGGTCTCGTAATAAAGTCACATAAATCGAGCCATTTTCCATAAACGAGTCATAAACCGGCCTATTATATAGAGCATGTAGCGCAAAAACGTTGTACTTATAATTTTTATAATCTCCTCGTTTGACGCCCATCGGGGGTACGAAGTTTTTCTTTGAAGTAAAATTAAAATTCACATTTGCAAAGTGAAAATTTGTGTATTTTCCTTCTTTAATAACCACATTTAGTTTGTTGTCGAAAGCATATTGCTCAAGTATTCGTGCTAGCGTTGTTCCGCCTGTTTTGTGAGTTTTCAAAAACACGATGTTTTTCCTCGGCGTGCAACTTCGTAGGTCTGCGGGCTGTGTTACCTTATTCCTAATACTGTTAATGTAAAAGCAATTTGTGTTAATGAATAAACAATAGTAAAAGTAGCACCTTATAAAACACAAGCTTTCAGAGGCATTCAACCTTCCAATAATAAGGAAAAATAAACAGTTCAATATAAGAATGTAAAACAAAGTATCAATTTGTTTGAATATAAGAAACGGTAAGGTAAGTAAATAAGCAAGAGTCTAATAAACAAAAACTCAGCTTAGGACTATCTGACCATACGCTTATTCGGACATTATTTTTTCAGTAAAAGCCTAACTGGAAACATCGTAAATATGCTTAACCCCGTTCGGCTATGAAACATGAAGCCTTGTAATAAAAATATATAAAATAAAAGGTTCTATGGAAAAGTGCAGTAACTTATTCACATCTGGCTAAAAATATGTAGGCCCCGTGGCTATTTATTTTAGATATTAAAAGCTTTAAGTATCTAAGCGGAATAGAAATAATATGTTGGCGGCACTTGGTGAACAATTGGATGCAAAACATGACTAAGATCTAAACATACAAATTTAAGTTCTAGAGTTAAATAGATATCAGAAAAGTCAACGTAGGCATATTTACCTTTGCAATACTGTATGTTGAGTATTGCTGCCTTTTATTCTTTTATGAATTAGGCCTACATTGCAATTTGGAATCAATGTTATTACATGAAACAATAGAACAGTTATACAAGCCAGAAAATATATCTGAAAAAGAAATAATTAATAACATCATATGAACAATTTTAAAGGCCTAACAAATAAACACTCGATCTGGGTAAATTATTATAGTTTATACATAGCAGAAACAACAAGCTTGAAAATTCATGAATAAACAACATCACAGGCAGAGTAATCTGAACAAGAATTAAAAAGAAAACACAATTAATCCCACCGGGACCGGAGGATGTCCGGGTGGGTTTTAAATATAAAAACTTAGGCCTACTTCTATACTATCGTTTTCTTCTAACGTACCTTAAAACATCGACCCATTGATATCAATTTATCCAGTAACTTAGGCCTATCTGGTTGATATGGACATTCTGAACAACTGTTAGAATACTTACACTTCAGGTAGTACAGGTCAAAAAATCGTGCACTTTGTGATAATAGACCGACCCGCCCTCGATAAACTAACGTTAGATTATGATAAGCGGCGATCTTCTGATCTGACCTGTGCGTTACCATGGTGTTCCTATCAAAAACCCATTTAGCACTGTTGCTTTCAAGGTGATTGGGAGTGTTTGTCAAAAAGCTCATTGACCAATAAACGCGTAGTTGAAATCGTGTCACTCTCATCGGCCAATGAACGCAAAGTTGAAATCAGAACTTAGCGAATACTCGGCATCTCTTTAATTACGAGATGTTACATAATACACGATGGCGTGTATTTGATTGCTTTGAGATGGAGGTATTATGCCTCCATGCTTTGAGCATGCTTTGAGTATGTATATACTTTCTTACAAATCTATAATACAATTACTAAAGTTAACGATACGTCAATTGATACTTGTCTTTGGAAAAATCCTAGTATCCTAGTAATCCTAAAATCCTACAGTAACTCCAATGACAGGATTATTCTCTGATTTATATCAAACTCAAAATCAGTTTTCAAATACCAAATTTAATTTAATAAAGTGGAATAGAAAGAGAAAAAAATGTTGAAATTGAAAAGTTTTCATGTAAATTAAAATCACAAATGTCCTAGTAGGATGTAACATGTCATTGCATGAAAAAAAAAAGTCAATTTCAGGCTTTCTTGGGTGATCCATAGTTCAAGCAAGTGCTGCTATATAATTAAAAGCAAAATTAGAAAGCAAGAATACATGTTTCCTATGATAGTTAATTCATATCCATTTTATATCAACATAAATTTAAGAACTTTCTATTATTAATCAGTTTCCTGGTAAATGAACATAAACTATATGAAGCGGAAAAAATACGACTTTATTTTATCCAACATACTTCAATAATTAATTGATAGCAATAAAATCACGTACGAAATGTTAAACTAGTACTTTTCTTACTATATAAATAATTACACGACAACAGTTGCGGCAAAAGTTATACAAACCAGGAACACGAAATACTTTAACCAGTAATTTTACGACAAGAATTCATTTTGCTTCAAACTGCACTGGTTTATAATTAGACCCTTCATAAGTGTATTATTATTATGTATTCTATATACCGGTACAAATGCTCAGATGCTAACACTGCAGCTAACTTACCCGGCTTATCGGACAACTTGAAAACGAAATTCAGTTATTTAAGGGAACACTTTTCTGCGAAATGAGGGGAAATATATCCTTTAACACTACGGCCAAACCTTGTTACGGGGACACCCTTAATATTATGTGGAGTGTGTCACGACAAAAATGTAGCTTTAATCTATATACAAATGGTTATTACACTTAAAAAAATATTTGCCCTTCAATGCAGAAAAATGTGAGGGGTGGGTGCAAAAACTTTCATTCTTTATGTTCCTGAAATTTATAGCAATGTATGTAATCTCATCCAACAGAATAACACAATCAACATTACGTAACGTAACAAATCGGTCTTATGGTGATATCACACTGTTATTCAAACAGCAATTTTAGACAGTGGTAGCACCTCCGGGGAAAAATCATAAAAGAAAAGTCATCAAACGAATTTTTAATTTGTATTAAATACCTATATATGTAAAAATGCTGTCCCTATTAAGTAGGTGCTGGAGAGCACGAAATAAACATTTTTTAAACGTTTTACACAAGGTTTTCTATTAATCAGTTCATCATTTCAGGAGTCCAGTTGACCTTAGACATGATACCGTAACCTCTTAAAGATAGTAACGTTGGTGATGAATTTGATGATGAATTTAAACAAAAAATAAGATGAAATTTTTCATCAAAAAAATGCATTTTTTTTACAGTGAAAAAGATTATTTTATTTAAGTAATGGTTTAATAGTTTTAGGCCTATATTTTAATCAATATCATATTATTCTGAAGTATAGTATCCCATTACTCTTACCTATCGTATACCACAATGGTATCACCAAAACTAAGACATTTGCCTGAGAGATTTTAAAGAAAACTCCCTATTAAGGGGATACCTAAATAGTGATAGCCATATGCAGGTGACACCCCTATTAAGGGGACACTTTTGGTCAAGATGGTGCCCCTTAATAAGGGTTCGGCTACCTAGGGGCTGTGCTCTGTCTCTGTCTGTCATATTATCCCTGTGCTATCCATTTGAAATTCTGTGCTACACATTTGCAAGACTGCCCTACCTTTGAAAAACTGTGCTATCCATTTGAAAGTCTGCGCTTTCCATTAAAAAAACTGCGAAGCGCATTTGAAAAAAAAAATGTGCTATCCATTTGAAAGTCTATGCTAACCCTTTGCAAGACCGTACTACCTTTGAAAAACTATGTGCTATCCATTTTAAATGATGCGCTTTCCATTTGAAAACTGCGCTAAAACTGCGATGCCCATCTGAAAAAGTGTGCTACGGTATCCATTTGAAAGTCTGTGCTACCCATTTGAAAGACTGAGGCTTTCCATTTACAAGACTGCGCTACCCATTTGAAAAACTGCGATACCAATTTGAAAAACGGCGAGACATATTTTGTAAAACTGTGCTACCCATTTGAAAGTATGTGCTACCCATTTGTAAGACTGTGCTACTCATTTACAAGAAACTGCGATACCTATTTTGGAAAACTGTACTACCCATTTCAAAGTCTGTGCTAACCATTTTAAAGACTGTGCTATCAATTTACAAGACTGAGCTACCCATTTGAAAAACTGCGTTACCAACTGTGCTACCCATTCGAAAGTCTGTGCTACCCATTTGTAAGACTGTGCTATCCATTTACAACACTGCGCTACACATTTAAAAAACTGCGCTACCCAATTGAAAAACTACGATACCTATTTTGAAAAACTGTGCTGGCCTACCTAGTTTTGAAAAACTGTGCTGGCCTACCTATTTTGAAAAACTGTGCTGGCCTACCTATTTTGAAAAACTGTGCTACCCATTTGAAAAACTGCGATACCAACTGTGCTACCCATATGAAAGTCTGTGCTACCCATTTGTAAGACTGTGCTATCCATTTACAAGACTGCGCTACCCATTTACAAAAAAAAACTGCGATACCTATTTTGAAAAACTGTGCTACCCATTTGAAAAACTGCCATACCAACTGAGCTACCTATTTGAAAGTCTGTGCTACCCAGGGGCGGATTTAGAGGGGGCTTAACAGGCTTTAGCCCCCCCCCCCCTAAAATTTCATAGCCATTTCTTTTTAACTGTTTTTTGAAGGTCCAAATTAAAATATTGTTTAATGTTTTCTTCACACACATCATATTACATTTTACACTAGTTGTTTTTCAGTGATAAAATAAAAATGAAATACGTTTTTTAACCGATCAGCGGACAAAAAAACGTAGCTAAGAAAGCTGCTTTTGCCTACTTTTCAAAGTGGGGACATGGTATCGATTGTCCCCCCCCCCCCACACTTTTCACCAATCTTCTATAATTAAAACCCCACTTTTACAAGCGAATGGAAAGAATAACAATTAAGCATGACTCATGGATTTTGTCTGTTTACTTTTCTAAGTGCGGTACGTATTTTCCGGACCAAAACCAAGTAAATACGGTACGCAATTGTTTAAACATTTTGTAACCATCTCAGAAACCCACTAGATCGATTTTATGGGTGCAACGACTATCAGATGCTAAATTTATTGTGAAAACAATGTACTGAACGTTGTTGAAATTGGAAGCATGTATACTTATT